CGTTGTTGGCTTCTACTGCTCAAATGACCTCAAATAAATACGTGATATAGTAAAGGAGAGGCGTTTTCTTGCATAACTATCTAATATTTTAACAGTCCAGAGGCTAGCAGGACTTTGTGTCAGCACAGATAAAAGCTTGGTTTGAATAACTGTAACTACTGGCTCAAGACTGGAATAATACCTCATTGCCGTTTTCAGTCACCATTTAAAAGTCTTCACTGAATTTTTTTGGAAACAAGTGAATATCACATCTATCTATTCTATACCATTTTTAAGAAATAGGAATAAATCCTAAAATAAGTCTTGAAATATTATTCAATAAGACTATTGAAACTAACTCTGCTGCTCAAAACAAATGCCATGTACAAAAATAATAAAAAATTATGCCCAGGAGGACCTTCAAGGAGAGCTGAAGTTTATTGAAAGGAACTCAGTATTTTTTGGCTTGGTGAAAAGAGTGGTCTCAGCAGATACAGACAGAGAACAGACAGCAAAGTAAATGGTTGAAAAATCATGTAGAGATAGATGGCTTTGGGAAAGCAAATTTCTGGAGATGAAAAGGCTTCTAACAGTGAGCACAGAAACCCCCTCTCTCGATGCCAGCTGTGTTCTAAGAAAATGGAATCACCACCACATTTTTTTTGTGATTAAAAGGGTTAGCACTAAAAACAAACAGAAAACCCCACATAAATATTATGCATCAGGAATTTCTGTTCTTAGCAGAAAGAATGGTCCTGCCTAGAATTTACTGAGGCAAGTGGGAGCGGTATTTCTTCCTCCTATAATGAGGCATCCCAAGGAGGTGAAACACTTTCTCTGAAATATGGCCCAAGCCACAGCTCTTCTGGCAGCACTGAGTAACAACTTTGCTGGTGGAGCTCGTAGTCCAAATACAGTCAAAATTCAAGCTCTTTTGTAGTATCTTACAACAGGGGAACAATTCCTAAAGGAGTCTTGAGAGTAATCCCAACTGCTGTAACTCAGATCATTTAACAGCCAGCTATGATAATCTCCTCAGTAAATTAATACGGTTTGTCAAGCCAAACAAACTACAAAATAAGAAAGCTGTGACTGTGCCATGAAGATTTGCTAATCAAGAACATCCATTTCAAAAACATTCTGAAAGTCAGCCGAAACCAGCTTATTATCTCCTTTATTGGTGCTTTCAGAAGTAGAAAAAAATGGCCCACCAGCAGCCCAGAAAAGTGAGAATGAGGAACAACTGATGTCTGATGCATCCTTAGAGAAAGACATTAAAATTAATTCATCATAGATCTATTTACTCTAAGGCAACTGAAGAACAAAGATTAGCCCAAGAGGCTTCATGTCCAGAAGTATTGAATACTGCTGGCAGGTCTAAAGGAATGCTACCAGCACAAAACCCTGTTCTCCTTTGTCAGCCAACTCTGTGCCACGCTGGAATACACTACATGGGCAGTACATGTTCAAGTCTGGAGAAGAAATATGACTCTCCAAGGTATTTGTTGAGACGAAACGAAATCATTATATAATTACTATTATTATATGATTCTGTGGTGTGATTTTGACTATATAATTAGACTGTCTGCCTAACAGTACTTGACTATGATTTTCTTTATGACTCAAAAGCTCAGTTACACTTATTTCCTCAGAAATAACTTCTGTTCAAGTCCACAAAGAACTTCAATAAACAATTCCCAGTTTTAATCAGTAAAGTATTACTGGCATTACATTAATATTTTACAGTCATTTATATAAAGCATGAGAAAAGCTATCCATCTGGTATCACAAGACAAAATATATACAGAACAGCATCACAGAAAGAGATAAAGACCTACAGGTGAAGTCCAACATAAATAAACGTAATCAATTTCCCAAGCTGACAGTGCATTGTAAATTATTTACAACATATAAATAGGTGAAACACTACCCCATGTCCATTGAAAAAAACCAAAATGGCATCACAGAAGAAAAATGGCACAGCATAGCTTTCTATTACCCACACTACAACTGAATGAATGAAATGCAAGAGGAGATGTGCCAGGTTACTTGATACTTGCTAGTCAGCTTAATCAGATACTCTCAATTTCCTGCAGGATGGATAACAAACACTGTTCTGCTGCTTACTGCACACCATGTCTACTAAAATATTTTCTGAGGTAGAATGATCCCTAAAGCCATCTAATAACACAAGGGGTCTGGAACCACACGACCTGACATAATGTAAGAGAAGCAGGTTTAAATAAAAATAATTAATTAAAAGATAATGTACATGGGTAATTGAGATAGTAAATGATAAGGTTATGATGACAGATACCCAAGCTTCTGACTGTCCTTTATTGTAACCCTACCATGTAAAAACCCAAAACCTGACTTTTTGACCCTGCCATCTGCCCTTATTTTAAAAAAAATCCTTAAAACTTCAGAAGAGTTTAAAAAGCAACATACTTTAAAGAAAATTTTTAAAAACTATTTTTCCAAATTGTTATCTCAATATCAGAAAGCAATTTTATATTTAACAAGCTGAAATAATTAAGAACGGAATTCATCTTTTAAGGACATGTATTTCTGAGAAGAAAGTTAATAAAGGATGAGCAAGATTATTGCCATGAAGAAGAAGGATTTAACAGTTCTGCAATGCTTGAATGTATTTGATAAAACTTTTAACCATTTTATTGTTCAGGAAGATATATGTATGACGTACAACTTACTTGCACAGCAAGGTGACTGAAAATATTATCTTGTACCTTATTATCATCAATAACATGATACTAATTTTCTCCCTAACTTTATTCATATATTAGCACTGATATGCATTTTATTAATCAACATCTCAGTTGCTTCATCCAGCTAAAGTTCTCATCCATTAAAGATGTATATTTTTAGGAGAAACCAGAAAGATCTTCTCTTTAGTTTTTTATTTTTCTTTTTCTTTAAGGAGGATACGCAGAAGAAAATAACAGGGATAGTGAGGAATGTGAGAACCAAGAGACCATGAAAGCCAAGCCACCTCCCTTCCAGGTTTACCCCTAACTGAAATTTTTTAGCCCCTGCCCAAGTTACACTGACAATGAAGAAAAACTATCCAATTTTTCTCTCCCTTCAAAAAGCTGATAAGATAAAACATAACAAAAAATAAAAAAGCCAAACAAAAACTGTTTCCTTGCAATAGCTAATAGTTAGAGCTTTGTTAGGTCACAGCTATCAGCCATGGTGTGAATTCCCCATTTTGATTGCTGTCAATAATAAACTGTTTTCAAAAGAAGTAAAAACAGACATTAGTATTCAGGCCTACTAAATAAAACCAAGAAGAAATCTTAATGTTTTTTAACCTCAACATGACCTTTCAGACCACTTCTAAAACCACTCAGAAATTAGAAATCAATACTTTGAATCAAGAATTTTACCTCAAAGTACTATGAATTTTAAATAATTAACCCTTTTGCAATTTCTAGCTTCTCTCTACTCCATTTTTGGCACTGATTTTCTTACTGTTTCAAAATAAAGTCAGTGCACAAGATACATTTCTTAGCACTACTTAGCTTTTTATTCCTAAAGGAAAATTGCTCCACATAATTGGTTATTGCCTTGATTTTCTACCCTCCTGTAGTCTCATGTTTCCCTCAAATTCCCATAAACTGAAAAAAAAAAAACTTGTAGAAAACAGAAAAATGATTAATTTTTTTTAAAGGTAAGTTTTCTTATGGAAAATATCTCAAAATATTTTTAGTATAGCTATTTATGGGTGGTACCTACTATCTCCTGTTCCTCTTTTAAAGAAAATCTGGATAACAGTGGAAAGGTCCTAAAAAAAGGAGAGCATTCTTTGTGTCAAATAATTTTGTCTACTGAATTTTCCTTTAATAGCTAGCATCCCATGTATTTAAAAAAAAAAAAAAAAAGAAAGCGATTAGTTTAACTTTGCAGAATTACACAAGCATAAGAATTTGCACTTATGGTATCAAACACGTCAGAAAAACTTAGAGAACCTAAATATTTCAAATTACTAGATAAACTCTTTCCGTAGTCATGCTTCTCTCACAAAGATTACTTGGTTTTGTGTGTGGGTGCCTCCAACTCTTCTCCTTCCTCCTTTCCCCTGGCCTCATGCTACTCACAGTCCCTCTGTGCTATGCCCAGGATGCAAAGGGGAAGTCCAAGGACCAGGTGTGGTTTTTTACTAGGCAAGCTGGAGCCAGACCTCTTGCAACAGAAAATACCCAACCTGAAGACATGGGAATACAGTTGCTTCCCTCGTCATCGCAGGAACACGCTGTACAGAAACCACAGTCCCATGACTCAGAGCACATCTCAACCAAGAAGCTCTGAGATGATCCTGTCTCTCCACTGAGCACAGGGAACTTGAGACTACATTCCTAACTGCTTCTTGACATTTCCTTGTCGCTATGCAAACTTAAGTCCGTCCAATCCAATTGTGCCTTACTCCCTTTCCCTGTCCTTTTGATTTTTCATGCAGTCTCTGCTTTTCATCCCACCCTGTGCCAGAATAAGATTTTGCCTACTTACTCCTCTGCACTGAGTGCACACTATTCTGTTGCTGCTCAAAGGCAAACTGTGAATACAAGGAAAAAAATAAAATACAGCATTCAAGGAAATGGTGATACTCTCTCCTTAATCTTGCCAGCAGTAGTGAGAGAGAGGACAGACAACTTCACTGAGCTGAGGGGAGATTAGTATAATATTTCCTGTCACACCATGGAAGTAATTTGTTTCCTTTGTTTTATAAATATTAATGTATTAACAGTAGTATTTTCAGTACTAGAATCATGATTTGAGAAAGTGTTTTTCACGATTAACTTACTACCTACATACTCCCAGATTCCAGAAGGAAAGCACACAAAAATCAAAATGCTTCCAGCACAAAAGAACCTGAAAAAACTAAAAACGGTCATACTGCTTTCTGTGGCATTCTTTGGATACAAGTCCAGTGATTCAGTTAATTAGTAGCATTGAATATGAGCTCTATCTTTTAAAAGCTAAGCATGAAAATAGTATCTTACCTTGTATCTCTAATGAGAGGTGCACTTCCCAGTTTAAAACAGATCTTTTCCCCACCACAAGATGTTTGCCTTAAAGAAAAGCTTTCTGCCAGATCAAATCCTGTAAAAGAGAACACAATATGATACAATTTAATGGAATTTAATAACCATAAGTAAATCATTTTTAGCATACTTGAATACAAGCACACTAGCATTTCTAGAATACAGACTGACAAACTATTTTAAAAAGTAGAGCTTGAAATCAGAGAAACTTTCAATATTCATTTTATTAAAACTATTCACACAGAATTCACTTGATAGATGACTTTAAAAACTGAAAAATGAATTTGCTAGTTCCTTTTATCACCTGAATTGATAAGAATGCAAGATGATTGGAAAAAAAAAAACCAACATGCAAATTAGTGTGGATGCTGAACTTGAACCAATACTTTTGAGAAAAAACATGTTCTGATTTTAATGTCACCTTCCTGAGAGCAGCAGCAGCTTTTAGGTGCTTTTTGGAGATGGCATTCTGTCCTAACTTTTCAATTTTAAAGCAAGATTCAGTCAGACTATGATTACATCCAGTAATCATTACCAGCTAATTAATACAGATATTCATATTAGCTTGGTCATTTACCTGATACACCACGACTGTCTCTGTTGATTTGTTTGAGATGACGGGCAGCTGTTTTCATTAAAGGACACACAGAGCCTTCAAGAGAACACAGTATAGTATCTATAGTAAAATATTAACAAGCTAACAGGCATTGAACAAACTATCATGGCAAATATGGTAATATTGACAGGAATGTTTCTTTAGGATATGAAAAGCAGCAATAAACCAAATTACAAAATCCAAACAAGAGCAGTTTTTATAATACACTTCCAATAAGATAAGCAGATAGAATTTGTATTGCATTTTAATTCAGCTGCCTGTGGTTAAAGTTCATATAAACAACAGAGCCAGAAGAAAACCATTAAATTCTTACCACACTGTTTCCATTTACAACACTCTATAAAGCAGTAATATCTGTTCCAAGTTCTTTTTGTATTACTAGAAAATATTTTCCCCCACTCCTGAATATGGAACAATATTATATTTTGGGGAAAAAAAGCTTGAAGTAGGGAAGTAAGTCTGAACCAAAGTTCTTTGGTATGCAAACAGAACATACTTAAATTTGAAACATGGTAAATAAACTGAGGTTAAATCTAACAGAACCCTTAGATAAAACACTGTTTTGTTAGTATACAATATTAGTTATTATTACTTCTTGCTTGCATTATGTCCTTTATGCTCTTTTTTAATAGATATATAAGAATGTCCACTTTTAAGAAGGAAATACAGAAAATTGTTACTTTTGTTCAGAGGTCAGAAATAAGGCTCACTATTTAACAAGTTTTGCAAATAGCCCTGCTAAATCCTAAAAGAACTAGCAAATCAAAGATGAAAAGTTATGATATTTGGCCTGTCAATTTATCAAGCACAGAGTTTTGTGAGCTGATGAAACTAAAAAGTTGTCCAAGGTGTATCTGAAGCTGCTGAACAATGAAGGTCAAGGTGGTTTCTGAAGCATTAGCTGAATAAAACAAGTAAGGAATGTCCTGTCATTAACCAGGAAATCATGTATACCTAAATGTTTCATAAGAACATCCAGACCAAACACTGGTATTAAAACTAGCTACATTTGAAAGCTATTGTGAAAGCTTAAATGCTTAAAGCATGTGAAATTTGTCATTTATTCTGTAGTTATGTAGAAAGCATATTACCCTTCAAAACTCTTAAATGCTATTAAATAGATTTCAGTATTTTATCTGGATTAAGAACGGCTAATTGGAAATAACTAGTAGAAGTGAAACAATATCATATAATACAGACATAAAGAAACCTCCTGGTAATACGGTTAATGAAAGCTTTGTCAGCTATCTAAAGAAGAGATAGGGTGAAACACCTTTTTTTTTTTTTCTTTGTAAGATTCATGAAGTTCCATGTGCTTCACATATAAAATTAGAGTTACAACTAATAATTGACTACTACAAGTAACATCTCAGATAAATGAATTTACTTGTAAAGCTCTAAGAAAATAAATTTTTTCTTTCCCTCATATAGATCCATAAATACGTGGATATGCATGTTTTTCCTTGTACAGATAGAGTTTCATTATAAATGAGATGAAACACATGCATGAAAAACTCTGTAAATTCCCTTTCTCCAGAAAAGATGCCGAACTGTAAAGAATATTCATGTTGAAAACTCTGAAGTGAAATCTTTCATCATTCTTGGTTAGCAGGAAGTTTTATACAGTGAGAAAAGCATTCACTGGAATTACACAGTAACAGCAATTCCAGTACACCAGTTGATATATACACACACGGCATGGGAAAGAAACGGGTTCACCTTAGATACCCTTTAGTTTACAAACCTCAACCTTCAATCAAATACAGATTATTAAACTATAGAATTCTATATACAGCCACTTTAAAACAATAAATGTTGTTAGGGTACATTTACATAAATGTAGCTCTAAGAAATAATCTGGGCGTAAGGGAAGCCATTTATGGCTGAAGTCAAAGAAGAATGTCAGACATACATGGGCAGATGTTTTTCTTAAATCTACATGTTTCCAAAAGGCTTTTTTCAAAAATATTCAATGCATTTTAAGGCAAATTCTCTTTTTGGTTATGTTCTTGACAATACTTATAAGAGCAGACAGAGACTACTTATTGGTGATTTTACCCTAAACCTATGTGAGCTTTAGGGAACCTGGGACACAAGTGTGCTTTTTTTTTATTCAGCATTAACTTTCATGTGTGTTGAGCAGCGAAAGACTAGAAAGTTTGAGCCTATTCCCCACAGCTACTTTTTTCCACGTCCAAATAAAGACTCAAGCCTTAATTTTTGTGTTACCCAGATGATAGCTATGATTCCTCACATGCCACAGACTGGACCGTGGACCTATTTTTATCGGTGGCATAACGGTCACAGCACACACAGGCCATTTAAGTGTTAGTTACTTGTGTTCCACATCCCCAGAACTGAAAGAGTTACGATGAATCTTCTATTGCATGCTACTGATGCACTCCTTTAGTTCAGTGCTATTCCTTTTACCAGAGAGCTAAGGGAAACTCTCAAATAACAAGACCAAACCCTCTCCATACCAAGGCTGACAACTTTCATTACTATAGAGTGATGAAAATTCTTTCTGCAGTTACAGCTTGTAGCGTTAACCTCTTCCATGATTTTTTAGTACTGGTAGCAGATCCTTAAATTTTCTTTAGCTTGAGAAAAAACAGGCAATTTTCCCATTCAACATGTGGGCAGCTGAACGACAAAGTCTACATAAAGATATTCAGGAAAGTAAAAGAACAAGATAAACCCTTACTGCTAATCCAGTGGGAAACCATGAACCTACCAGACCTGTTGAAATACTATAAAATTCATGAAATAGTAAGAAGAGCAAGCTTACATTTGTACGTTAGATTGCCCTGCATGTGATAAAACTCCATCTGTGTGGACTGAACAAAAAATTCATATTAAACTAATGATATCAATGGTCAAGTTAACTTATCTTTAAATTAATAAATTTACCTACCCATACAAATAATTTGACCTGGATCTTCATAAAATAATGAGTTCTAGTTATGAGCTTATTAATATAAAAGCAATCAAACAATCTTGAAAGTTTTAATTTATGCAGACTAAGCAAGTACATCACAGATCACTGTATTTTCTCTTACCATTAAGATTAGGAAGAATTTTTTTGTTTGTTTTCTAATAGCATTGCTAAAAGAAAAAAAAAGGCATTACATCTAGGCATATCTGTTGCAACACGCAATGACGTGTTCCAAATTCCTGGAATGATCAAGACACCTGTTGAAGCACACTGCAACTTCTATCTAGGCACCATGCTCAGCTTTCCATTCCATGCAAATGAGGACAGAAGAGACTGTGGTGTGTGCTTCGATGTCCCTCTCACAGATATTTCTTGTGTGCACTTCCTGAGTGGGAACTGTAACTTCCAACGGGCAGTTTTGGCTTCTCCAGGTTAGTGTAACTTGTAATGGCTAGATTCACTTCACAAGTACCCATGTACTACTTTATAATTAAACTTCACATTCAGGTGAAGTTTTTCCTGCCATCTATCACCACTGACATGCACATTGCCAAGGCACTGAAGCTTCCATCAGTAACCATGGCCAGCTCAATGAATGTGGCCAAACAGCAAAGGCCAACCTAATGTATACCCATATCCTAATGTATACCCACCAGTTGACTCGAGCTTCAGGCAGAAGAAGCCCATATTACCCAAGATTTTTCTCATACTCTTACTGGATCAGGCTTCATAAACACACAGACATAGGCAACCTCTTCAGGGTCAGCCACACACTTGCAAATATCAGCAATGATATCCAGTGAGTCCCCCTCAAATGTATGCATACTGAAGATAAGCAGATCCAGCTGGCTTGCTTTCAAATAAGGTCAAGAATTCAGATTTCCTACATATCTGCAGCCTCAAGTATACAGGCACCAGGAAATAAGATGTGACGTTTTTGTGTTCTGGTATTTTACTCCGTAAAGAAGATTATATTACATTAAAATGTCCATGTTAATTAAGACAAGGGTGGGAAGAATGAAGGGAACATGATACAGTAAAGAAATCAACCTCAAGTCTGGTGACTATTTAGATGGTTATGAAGTAATCCAAGAGCATTGGCAGCCAGAAATAAGAAATCCAAGCAACAGAGTTTGAGGATTAGGATACTCATACCCCTGGAGAACTATATTCTCCCATGAAGAAGAGTAAGTAGTGAAAAGCAGGACTTCATATTATTTGAGACAACAAGCATCACTTCACCAAGGGCAAGTTTTGCATGACTAACTCCGTGTCCTTGTATAATGGAGTGACTATATCAGTGGACAAGGGAAGAGCTATGGATTTCATCTGGATTTCTGCAAGACCTTGGCAAGACATGGTCCCCACAGTATCTCTGAATTGTAGATGCTGGGATTTGACATGTGGACTCCTTGGAGGATGAAGAATTGGAAGGACAGTCACATCCAGAGGGGAGGGGTCAACTCCTCAATGTCCAGATGGAAATCAGTGACAAGTGGTGACCCGTTTGGGACCAATGTTATTGAATTAATTAACGACATAGATAAAGGGATTGAGTGCACCCTCAGCACATTTGCAGATGACATCAAGCTGAGTGGTGCAGTTGACACACCTGAAAGCCAGGATGTCATCCAGAGGGAGCTAGAAAAGCTCAAGAATTGAGCTCATGGGAATCTTGTGAGGTTCAACAACCTCTTGAGGTGCTGTGCCTGGGCCAGGGCAATGCTCAGTATCAAAACAGGCTGGGGGCTGAAGGAATTGAGACCTTTGAGAATACCAGTGGATGAAAAGCTGGAGATCAGCTGACAGTCTGTGCTCACAGACCAGAAAGCCAATCATATCCTGGGCTACATCTAAAGAAGTTTCAGCCTGAAGAAGAGAAAGGCTCCAGGGAGACCTTACTCCAGCCTTCCAGCCAGTGGGCCTGTAAGAAAGATGGGTACAGATTTTTATGAGGATTTTTATCCTTGTGACAGGACAAGGGGTAATGGTTTTAAATAAAAGAGGTTAGATTTAGACTAGACCTTACAATAATGGTGGTGAAACACTGGAACAGGTTGCCCAGAGAGGTGGTAGATGCCCCATCCCTGGGAACATTCAAGGCCAGATTACATGGGAATATCAGGAATATGAGTACATTGAATACGTGAAAAATTGAATACATACAATATAAGAGTTACTGTAGAGTCATTATATTGATTTAGTGAAGTATCTAGCTGTACTAAAACATGAAAACCAAAAAGCTGAACTGATTTGTATACTTGAAATCACTCACTGTGTCTGAGTTGGAGTGCCTATCTAAAATCAAGACCCACAGCCAATACTTTTCACAACGCATTCCATGTCAAAAGACACGGAAAATTCACCATGGCTGATAGCCCCAGGACTTGGTTTATACCACATTTTTCATGGATTAGCCAGAGACTTTAAAAAACAGTAATTGTAAAAGAAAGTTGAAAAAGAAGCAATGATCTGGGAATAAGACAAAATATTAATATTCTTAAAATAAAGCACTCAGGAATGATCAAATTAGAACTTCATGTGTCAGTATAGAAAGACCTTGCATCCACACTCAAACCTCAAATATTCCCAATAATAATAAGTAGACAACATGAAGAAAGCATGCTTGCAGTCAGATCAAAAATATGCCTGTGGAAAACTCCTGAACTGCCTCCCCTCAGATTTGCTATACTTCCATCATAAGAAGTGAGTGCTTCCTTCTAATGACCACTAAGCATATCAGAACATGAGAACTGAAAGAAATCCTCTATGTGAATCTAATGCTTACTGGCATCCTCAAGGCCTAAGGAGGACAGCCCCAAGAAGATCCAGCATACTCTCTCAGCCCGTGTCTCTTTTTTCAATACTGGTATTTATTTATTACAATATTGGCCCAATGAATAAGTCTCAAAGGATATTCAGCATGCCTGCTCAGAAGGCTCTCCCCTATATATGTACACAAGTCAGTCCTTCCCCTAACACACTTCTTTCTCTCACTACCCTCAAATTAACTCTAGTCTACCCTTTTCCATGTACTTGAAGCCATTCCTTATGATTCAAATAGATCAGTGAGAAATTTCAAGGTGTAAATATAAAAATCTCAGAGCCTACCTAAATGTACTTTGCTGGAAAAGTTTCCATATTAGCCCACAGAAATAAATGTTATGCATATGAGGTTGAAGGAAGAAAACCAAAAAGATCATCTAGGCAGAATATTGAAGGACAGATGTTGATTTAAACAGAACTTGTACATCGGAGGGAACAAAGGCCCAAGAAAGAGAGACTGAGAGACTTGAATGCAAGATAGGAAAAACAAAAAAAAACCCTTTAGATATTACTTTCTTCATAAAGAAAGCACATTTCAAATTTTTAACAGATTCACCTGCATACAAATTATCAAACTGGATCGTGACAACTTTGCAACACAGAGGACTTGGTTCAACTGAACAGAGCAGATGAGCAAAAGGTTGGCAGAAAGACCTGTACCACTTTTACCACTGCTCTGCTACTGGGTCTATTCTTTCCTAACTCCTGCTTTCTGGTCTATAAGTTGCATGTATTTTTTGACAGTAACCATCCCTGCAAACTCTAGTAGAGTCTCTTTCCTGTTATCAACTGGAGTTTAACTCTGGACTTAACTCATACACCTGCTGTTGGCAGAGCTGCCCAAGCTGGCAGCTATTGACTTGTTATTCCTCACCATCTGCCTGTACCACCACAAACTGAAGAAGCCTCTTTCAAGTGCACACCCTCAGCTATTCACAGGAGAGGCTCAGTCTCTCCTTTTCTTCCTAGCAGTTCAATTGGACCCATATTTGACCCATTTGTGGCAACCAGGCTATGGAAAACTACAACCTCAAGCCTGGCTGCTTGGCTACAAACTTCTAACAGAATGTAATGCACAGTTCAGATACACTGTTTATTCTCAGTTCAAGGTATCTGCCACATCTTCTGTGGCTGGCCCAGCTTTTACTAACGCATCATTTCATTAGGAAAAAAAAATATAAAAGAAAAGAGTGCCTTCTGGAATTTTGTTTTAACATTTTTCAATCTACATTGCTAGGGAACCTTCTGTACTCTCATCATTTTAGCACTTTAAAAATTTCCCTTCTGCAACCCACCACCTAGCAATGACAGAATAAAACCTATTTTTCTTCTTTCAGACAGAATGATTTCACACCTATGATGTAGGCTTGCTCTCTCAGAGGGGTTAAGAATAATTCATCAGCAGAGCACTTAGCCTCACTGCCCTAAAAATAAAAGGGGAAAGACTTTGACTTAAATTCTGGCTCTTCACAATGCATTATTATTACCTCAGAGCCCACACATTACACTTATTATTAATTCATTATTACTTTTTATAGTTTCCAGGGGTAGTAAAAGGATTATTTTCCTAGTCATGGGCTTTTAAACTTCTTGGGCCTGAGTTACAAATGAGTTATTGAGATTTAAAGTTGTTGAGTGTGTGTAGTTTCTATTATCTTTTATAAGATTTCTGGAAAGGAACAGCATTACTAAGACTTAATTTTATTTTTCAGAAAAAAACCCAACCTAATTTAAATAGTAATAAACATGTTCTCCTTGCTAATAATGGTAGGAAAATTATAAGTTCAAGTACTTGCTGAGACCGAGTAATTCTAGAAAACTGATGTTCCATATTTGACAAGCACACATGATGCGCCTTTAAGAGAGAATTCACATTTTGGAGAGTTAATTTGGAGTTTAAGTGAGAACACTAGATAGCATGTGGAAAGTAAGAGAAAGAGGAGAGAAATGTGAGAAAATTTGTGGAAGACAGGTAACAGCTTTTAAGTTAAATAACATCTTTCTATTCCTTTCCCCCATCTTCTTAGGAAAAAGGTGGGTTTTTTTTTTTCTGTGTGAAACATATGACCCAGTCTAGAGATTAAGTATAGGTGTGGTTAACATGAGCATTAGATTGTTTAGGCCAATGTGATAACTGGTCTGCTCTAATAAAGCCACATGATTATTTTCACAAAAGTTTTGCAAACTCTGATTTATAATCTTGTTTTGTATGGTAGGAAAAGAAAAGTACAAAATGAAACCCCTAGGAACAACAATTACCTCCAAACATGAATCTTCCAAGCACAGGAAGCAGAAAGCCTGCTTTGGAACTGCTTCAAACTTAGTTAATTTCAGAAAAGAGATTTAAACTTGTATTATTTTATCCATTCATAGTGTTCATTTTCCATGTGCTCTTCTTATTTACTAAAAAATTTTCAGTACTGAGATTTATGCCTTTGGGCTGTGATGGGCAAGAAAATTGGAAGTACCTGTCTGGTCACTGACAGCCACGGAAGTAGAAACAGGAAGGAGGAAGACTGCCATACAAAGCCAAACTATGCAGGATCCAATGTACTTCATCTCCCCCTGGACACATGTGAACAAACAGCTACAAATCTAGAACAAAAAACAAACATATTCAGAACAATCTCATCTTATTCTTCTTACCTCACTTTGTCAGAAAACTACACACAAGAGCTTCTTAACTGTGAAGAGGAAGTTGCTAGTCACATACAAGTGTACAATTTATCTGTTTGAGCTACATGAAAGATTTATGCCAATTTGGAAATAAATGATAATTATACTCCTTTTTAGTTTCTTATTAGTAAACTCAGAAGTAACACCTTAGAAATATTATCTTGGAGATATTAATTGTAAAGGCACTGAATGTTCATTTCGTTAGTGATTACTAATTTTCTTTTATATTTCTCCCCAAATTATTTTTCAATATATTAGCTACACTGTGGTGTCACAACATTCACAGTGACTGCTGAAGTAGTCCTCAAATGGAACAACGGCAACACGCAATTGTCTGAGTTTAACCACAGAAGAAACCAAAATGCGGTATTTCGCCACCTTGCAAAGTGCCTAGAGCAGCATATATTGAATTTCCAGTTTAAATCTCACAAAAGTACAGGCTTCAACAACACAAACTGGTACTGTCATTAGAGGACAAAAGCTTCCTCCTAAGCCAACTACGACGTATAAATACACATGAATCTAAGGAAACACAGAAAACGTCTACTATTTTTTCTAGCACATTTTCTGTAAGAAAAGCAGTCATATACCTAAGATGCACTTTTTATCATTATTTTCGCAAGGCATCTTATTCATCATCAAAGCTATTCTGTCGTGTACTGACAGCAACTACATCATGATTAACTTTTCTAGCCTTCCCAGCAGCATCAAAGCGAATACACGTTCAAATAAATTATCATTTAATTTCCTGCACCTGCTTTACAAGCAGGCATCGGGAATCCAGTTAGAGCTGCCGCTCCGGAGGTCTGGTTTTCTGAAGGGCTCCGATCATCGATCCCGCCGCCCCCTCGCTGCCGCCGCACCTCCGGGCTCGGGTGCTCTCCCGCCGGCTGCTCCAGGAGGCTCGGCTCGCTCGCACAGCCGGGCACCGCAGCCTTCGGGGCGCCCCGAGCCTGGGCAGCACAGCCTCTAACTCGCTAGCGCCGGCAGCCTCGCTTCCCTCGGATCGAGCCGCGCTTGCCGGAGGCAGGGTTCAACACTCCGGGTGGGAANACCTGCGCCGGGCCAGCAGGTGAGGGGTCCCCGATGGGCCGGGACGCGGCCCGCGGCATCCCCGGGCTCTGCCCCAGAGCTGCGGTGCCCCCGCCCCGCAGGGCACTGCCCGCCCGTGCCGCGGCTCACCCACCAGCGCGCTCCCAGCCACTGCGGGCAGGCCAGCCGGCACGCGTGCCAATTACAAGGTAGGCTTTTAAATGTAAATATATGCACAATCAGCATTGTGGCAACTCGCAACAGTTTCATCAGTTTTGTAAATTACTGTTCATTTAGCAGGGCTGGTTTTATTTGCATATCTTAGCATATACCTATAGTCACCCACTAGCATATACGATGTATTTACGCAATCATGAGCACAATACTATAGCGCACTATATCGTCTGATTGCAGTATGTTAAAAACTTACGGTATCCATCATGTTTATGTAAGACGTAGTTAATATTAGCAATGACAAACTTAAATGACAATTTTGTAAATCAAAACCAAAAAACCCTGAATAAAAACACCACAAAACAAGCCAGTAATACTGTACTGTGTGTCAGTGTGCACATGTAAGATGTCTAGATAATGGACTACAAATAATGACTGGCTTACCTTAAATTTTTTTATTGGTGTGTCCCCCAGAAGCACTGAAAATTCCTGTACAGAGCTGCTGTAGTGCCGAGGAGTTGCTGGAGTGAGTCTCCAAAGAGTGGTAGAGGGGGATGCAGCTCTGTCCTTATTAGTCTCACAGTGTGACCCTCCCACTCAGTGAGCACAGAATACTCTGCAAGAAAGAATAAACAGCCATAGACTTTACATAATCATATGTGCAGGTCCCAAGTCAGGTAACAATGTAAGAAATGTTTGGGGTTATTTTCTCCTTCCCCCCACCTCTCTAAAAAGCACCCTCTCAACAGTTCCATAAATCAGACAGCCATGGTATAAATGCATGAATGAAAGAGTGTCTGGATTCTAGCTGTGAAGAACCAATTATGTACGTTATTACACCGGCAGAAACTAGCTTTTATCTTTTAAGTGTAAGTGTACTTTAATTTTATATACTTTTATGTAGTTCATCATGAATTTAAAAATCTGCCATGCAAGAAACCAAGAGAATACACCTATTTATGGCACTGATGCTGTAATGCACAGTGAATTACTGAAATTTGTTTTGCGTTTCAAAATCTATCATTTACAAACCTGAATGTTCTTGCACTTGTGATATCATCTGTCTGTGATGAAATAGTGAGACTGAGCACTGCCACTGGCTCTTACCTGAATGTGCCAAACTGCGCTTTTGTCAGGTTCTCCAAGTGTGCTTGTGGCAGTTTTCTGTACTGCACTTAAAGATGTGAACCAGATAGAAGGACACAGACAAGTAAAACAAGAAACAGATATACAGAAGACAGAAAGTAGTGGTTTTTTTTTTATTTTTATATATATATATCTCCAAGACATATTTTACCTTTTTCTAGTTGAATCATTCTGATGGGAGAAAAACAAAGAAAGGTGATCCTAATATGAAAATTTATCAGCTTACCATCAATTTAGCCAATTGGTCTTCAGAACAGAAAATACAGAGTAAACTTTCTTCTACCCCCAGCTCCCATACTCGAAATCCTCCCACCCACTCAGCAGATTTTGGAATGTGTTTCCTCATTTCAATCAAGATAACTAGCCAGGATAACCAACAAATCACATGGAAAGACATGATTATCTTCCTGGTTTGAATTTCAAAACAGTTGTTGTTCTTCCCAACTTAGAATCACGAGAGAAAGATGAAATTGCAGCTTATGTACACATCTGCTGGGGTGTTTTATTCCACAGCTTTGCCACAGACTTGTGGTGTAACTTTAGGCAAGTAACACTTCTTGCTTGCTCATTCTGTAAATTATAGAAAGTAAAGCTGTCTTACCTCTCAGGGTGAGGTGCAAGAGCCCAATCCCATGGCTGATAAATCATAAGAGCACTCTTCTCCTTCAGACTGTTCGTTTGATAAAGGCTTCAATGTTGAGCCCTAATTCTTTATTTCAGAATTGTGAGATCCTCAGTTGAAAGACCCTTTGTAAAAGCTCTGTCCCTAGTAAAAGGCATCATCTTTTTTTTTTTTTATTTGAGAAGAACTGCATTTCTCATTGCTCTTTCAAGCGACAAAATTCTATTTTTTTTTTACTTCACTTTACATGTTCTAAATACCTAGATTTATCTACCTTACATAAATTGTCTCATTAATTTCAATCAAATACATGCTCTGAAGTGGCTAAGCATTTTAATTGTGTAAGAGTTTGGACATAGAATCAGTTTACCTTTAAAGAAGTATTTCTGCCTATTAAAATTTCAGTAATGTTTCATGGTCCAGACCCAAATATGGTCTCCATTTCTGGTGAACCAATAATGAAACAGTTCCTAAACCAAGGGTGTTGTTTCCCTTGCAAAATACTGACACTACAAAGAGAAAACTAAATACCTGATTTATTGAGTTTATATGAGTTGACCCTGATAGGATTTGACCATGTCAACCTTAAAAAACCTTTCACATCTGCATGAAAGCAGCAAGTAGAAGAATTAGAAACTGCTACAAACCTTCCCTAACACATACACTTCCTGTACGCTGGGCCAGATCTTCAAGTAAACAGGATTATTCCGGTTCATATAAATCAAAGGAATTACAGTTATTTGTACTAGCTGAGGAGCACCACATTAGGGACTGCCATAATATGTATTTATGGACAACACCGTTCACATTATTAGCAGTTCGAATGACTAGTGACATAAAAATTGGGAACAAGAAAAAACACACTGTTTAAAAACCTCTGTCATGACCTCCAAAAAATGGCTTCTCTCAGCCTCCCATGATATAAGAAGCTAAACCACAACTGGTGACACATCTGTTGTTGCCAGTAGCAGCTTAGAAATCCCAAACACTTCCTCACCTGCAGTTACTGATGCACTCCAGTGAAAATGGCTATACATTGTCTTATCTGCTTTAAATCCAGGAAGTACCGGAAAAACTGATAATCCAAGATGAAGCAGCAGCAGCAGCAAATGGATGATATTCCATCTTGTCTTTGCAGCAACACATTTTTCCAGTTATCTCAGAGTTTAGCTAAAGCACACAGAAGACAGAGTTAGACCTGGATCCAGGAAAGAGTTGAGGCAAATACACCAAGAAGCAGAAAGTAGAGAAATTTAGGTTTGAAGCCATACTTAGCACAGACATGCAGAGAACATTCCATCTCCTGTGCCAATGCGAAACTGCTCCACTGAACAGCTTTTACTACAACTGCAGTTGCAGGCAAGATGCAGGGGGAAAAGGTGAGAGAACTGGGAGGGGGCTAAAGCACTGACTTATTTTTGTAGAAAACTTTTCTTTATTGCTAACACTCACTTTCACCCTTTGTTTCTTTTTTTGTCATGAATAGATATCCCAACCAGCCAAGTTGCATAATTTGCTCTGTCTGTGCAGTGTTAACAGATTTGTCTCCATCTCGTTAGACCCACATTTTAAACTGTTGCTTACAACAACACATATGCAGGAATGAAGCTGCAAACTTGGACAAAACTGTTTAAAAGCAGCAGTGTCCTACTTGGAAAAAACTGTGTAAAAGGAGATTAATTTGAAATGCCCCTTACCATGCAATTTCTCCCTGAATGTAGTGCTCAGTATTTCTGTTCCGTTGTGTAAGCCCTTATGTGGCATTGTTCCTTGCCAGATGATCCTTTCTGCCCTCTGCAAGATTTGCCGGTCACGACAACTGCATTCCACTGAAGCAATTAAAATATAAATGCTTTTAAATACATGAGGGTGAACTATGGTGAACTTAGACGAAACAGGTGGAATCCCAGCCCTGGGGAAGTTAATGGAAATTTTAACATCTATGTAAATGGAGCAAAAATGTCACTCAAATGAGGGCACTTTGGCAAAAACTACATGAAAAGGGAATTATTTATATGCATGTGCACACATACTAAGCACTCCTAAGCAGCAAAGCCAACAGAAAAGCTGGATGTCACTTCGTTTCTGCTATAGAAGACAAAAAGAAAAAAAAACAACTGCTACTTCTTCTACTGCATACTTAAGCAGCACTCAGATTTTCAGTAGAGGGGCCAAAATAACTCAAAAAACTATAGTTTTCAGAATACTTATTATAGGTTTGTGGTATTTTTTTTGTCTTAGCTCAGGCATTTTCTTCACTCTTTGACGCTTTACAACATGTCTTAAAATCAACAACTGCTAGTAAATATAATGGTACAGCAACCAAAGAAAGAAAATTAAAAGAAAAAAGGTACATTCTTTATCTTGAATTCCAACGCCACTGAAAAACCCAATCTCAAAAAAAATACTCATTCACAGTGTTTAGTGCTATTTGGTCCTAATATGTTTCATATTTTAATAGTGGCATTTTAATTCAAAATATATACATTTGAAAGTAAATAGATCAATGTCATGATATATTGCTTATATTTACCAGTTGTTAATGTGCCAAAAGCTGTATCATATGCTTTAAACTATTCATTAATATTCCAGAAAAATACATTTTTCAATATATACTTCTCTTTAAAGTGGTAGTTCAAAAATTCAAAAGCTAAATTATTCAAACCTGAAATACTTCTGGATTTTCAGAATTCAGTAAAAACATCAGTCCAGGCTTAGAGAAACAGTGCTAAGATTAATAGCATTAAAATGTTCCTTATCTAATAAAATGCATACTTTCCTTTTTCTTCCTATATATAGCCATACCCTAAACAGCTTGCCATAAGTTCTAGTGTTTCATTAACCAAAGACATACACAATAAAAAAAAAAAAAACAAAAAAAACTTTACCACAATTCTTCTTACTCTTCTTGCCTTCATATGGAATCTGCCCTACCTGTAAAGCAGAAAATACATGCCTTTTGGTGGCTTTTAAATTGCACAAGAAAAAAAGTAAGTGTTAAAACAGATGATTAAGGAAGCAAAGAGCTGAAAGGTGATTTTCCAAAACAAGTCAAAGCGCATCTGGCTTATTTTAGATTGAAGTATCCATAAGTCTTTAAAAGTCATTATACATAATAAAAAGGTCAAAGTTTTAGGCAGATTTACTGGGATGTATAGGTGTTTACCCAATATTTCTGTACAAATATGGTAAAATCCTACACACAGTCTGAAAGCATCTACAAATCAGTAAAATGTATTAATTTAAAATTCATATAAT